GGTCAACGCTACAGACCCTTCCTATCGATGCACTTTCCTGAATATTTCATAACATGAATTTTTTATGGCAAGTTGCGACCCCGTGGAAGGATGCCGGCATGTAAGTTCTGGTCCATGTGAGGGGTCGTGTGATAATGTGATTGTCGTACAGCGATGTGAAGGCCTTGTTGTCACTTTTGTTGTAAGAGATTAGCAATCATGAATTGACATGTTTTACCAGCACATCTTTGCACTAGTGCAGGTTACATGCAAGATTACCTGCACCCGAAAAACGCACCTGCATCGATCTGCTGGACAATTAGACATTAGAAGGTAGAGTTAGAGAACATTTTGTTTCTCATTATGAAACAGTAATGATGAATAAAAATTCACACTCTGCACCTTGTAAAATATAGTTTCAATCAATCAATCAATCAATCAATCAAATGGTTTATTTGTAAAAAAGAAACATGTAACCGTTGGCTAAATTGTGACTTGCTGTACAATTTGCTTTCTTAACATTTCTGGCATAACAAATCAAAATTGATAAGTTACATAATATTATGTAAGAAAATGGTATAGACATCAGGAAATACCTGCACAGCACCAATTTTACCAGACAGTGTACTAACCTGCATATTGGGGTGATATTTCACGCTCTGAAAAACAACCTTGTGCAGGAAAGAGCGTTTCCGGGTTAATTCACCTGTCAACACGTTATAACGGGGAATCATTCAGCATTAGTGCCACACCAATTCAATTACTTGGTTCACGGATTGTACCGCTTCATTTTTTCTGATTTGCAAAAAAAAACAGCCTCTCAATCAACTCCATAATGCTTATATTTTGGCCCAAACAGTTAAAGAAAGTGACTTCTTTTCGAGTTGTAATTAATTGTATGAATTACAAAGCAGCCTGGTATATTGACTTCATGACTCATATGTATCGTAGAAAACCTTAGCCTGCTTTTATTTATTTTATTTTTTTGCCCTGTCACTTAATTTTTTTTCTGAAAATATCCGAGAACCAACAAATCAGATTGGTGTGGCCTTATAACGGTAAATCATTCAGCATTAGAGCTGATAAGTGGTTCGAAGAACGTGGGCAATTCTTCTCCCCTTGAAGTTCCGGTTCAGATAGCAAATCAAGTCCCTGGATAAATAAATCGGGATGGCCTTTCTGTGAATCGATGACTCAATGGTAGGTCACGATGGCGGGGATTATTTGAATGAGGAAACATAGGGCCGCTTCATTTGTTTTCCTCCCACATGTAAGCCACTTCTCAAAAGTCCCTCGGTGGGCAAACGGACTTCATGGACATACTATATCTATCTGTGCAGCCTGTACTGCTCACATTACACCGAACAATTTGTTACACTCAATCTTTGAACATATAATTGCAGGAGTTGTATAAAGCTTTCATGATGCCCCAACTGTTCAACAAGTTACATTCTACGATTATATATATATAGTTCTTGTATTTTACACGCCTGGGACAGAACGTCACCAGACAGCGCCATGCTGATTGCATATTGATGTATAGAAACGTAAGATTATTTTCCCATGCAGCAGTTATTTCCATGAACTTTCGGGGAAAAGATTTTACGCGACATTCACATATGAAAAACGTTTGCCAGTGAGAACAAACCTGTCCACATACGGTAGTAAGTTTCAAACACATCACCAGTGTAAGAATCTGTTTTCTTTATACAACTGTTGCTTATGTCGGCTGAAATTTTCTACTTGTTGATTCAGCGTCTGTGACATAACGAATCGTTTGAACGTTGCATCTGTTAGATAGATGAACCCTTAGTAGCAACGTCACATATTTAATTATCAAGCTTCAAAAAGGACACAGGATTTTCAAAGCACAGCCACAATAAGACAAACTCTGGCTTAGAGCTTTAATCCTGTAGGAATTAAGGCCCTCGGAGCACTCAATGTAATTAAAATGCATCATCAAAGTATTTCTCCTACTTTGATAGCAGGGTGTCAAAAAGAAAGAAAAAAAAAGAAAATAATAGGAAGAATGTAGGCGTGTGACAAGCACGCTTCGTTTTGGTGGGTTACAATACATGTACAAACACACTCACAAAAAGCCTCACATGGGCACTAAAGTTTCGCCTTGACAAATTAGAACCGTCACGTCAGCACCAAGCCCAACTCATCAGCTGCCTCCACATGAGCCTATAAATGCCATGCAGTAAATCACAGCGTCCGGGTACTTCACTATCGGTGGTCTAATTGTCGCCAGTGTGCGCGCTCCCGCCGGACCCATCATTTCTCTTGCCTTGGCGCGAGAAGGCCTCTACCAGGCTTCGTTAGGTGGCTGAAAATAGTAGAAATCGGCCAAGTGGAGAGATAGCACTGACAACGCTCCCGAGTGGCAAACTGTACTCTAAAGCAGACCAACTCCCTTGGCATGTTATATCTCTATTTGGCCGATTTCTAATCTTTCCAGCCGCCTCACGAAGCCTGGTGGAGGCTAGAGACGATGTCACAATCGGTGGTCTAATTGTCGCCAGTGTGTGCGCGCTCCCGCCGGACCCATCATTTTTCTTGCCTTGGCGCAGGCAGTCAATTCATCTGGTGGTAAACAGGGAGTGCGTAATATGGAAATGTTACAAAACCTTTGGAGGCAGTATTCATAATGTCGAAATGCTACAAAACCTTTGGAGACAATGTGCGTAATGTGAAAATGCTACAAAACTTTGGAGGCGATGTTGCGTAATGTAGAAATGTTACAAAAGCTTTGGAGAAGATTTGCATAATGTAAAAATGTTACAAAAGCTTTGTAGACGATTTGCATAATGTGGGAATATTACAAAACCTTTGGAGACGTCGAAGATCTTTAATAACAATTGTTTTTAGTAAAGGAGGATATATCACTTGTTGAATCCGGCGAGTTTAAAACGTGAGTGGGGTTTCTACCGTAGCATAAATTACATACTTAATCCACCTTATTTTTGGCTTAATAATTTCAACATTCGTCATTGATTTAAAGAGAATAAAGAGACCCATTTAATAAAATAAAACACTTTGTAAGAAGTGTCTTTTTATTTAGATCTGGTCATATATGGTGACAGGTATCACAGGCGTTGATTGTGTAGAATAAACAACAAAAACTGTCGATGTCTAACTTGTTGAAACTATTGGCGTATATATAAACCAGCTCTCAATGAATCACTTCAACCCAGGAACCGTTTTGTTTCTTCCACTCCACCTATTTCAATAAGTGAGAAAGAAAAAAAACATTAAAGAGAGCCATTCTGAGCTGCATCTGGTCTATCCAGACACGTGGATAGGAGGGTGATTCAGTGCTTTCATTTCAGCACGTCTTGCGAGAGTCAAAAGAGACTCAGAAGTTTAAAGTGACTTTAAGGCTTCTACATACGCTTCCGTGTGATCCAAGTATATCACACAGAACTTACCACTTCGATGTCTCTGTCATTTCCACAACTAGTGTTGTGATCTCAGCAGAAAAGACTTAATCTCCAAGAAGATCCCTTTCAGTGGCAAAAAGACAGTATCAAATTGACCAGACAGTATTCATTAAAGAGAAGGTCACCGGCCACCGACAGGTGGGGGTACCGACAAAAAGGGCCATATATAAAAAGCTAAAGATCATTTCCCCACAACCTCTGCTTGGAGAGTAGAAAAGAATGCTGTGAAGATCTGACAAGGCACCCTGCTGTGATGTCGCTTTAAAATAACTCTTTTATGCTCTTCAGCATAATATGTCTCACAGCTCATGGCGTCATAGGAAGATGATTATCGTTATGGTGTCATCATTACATTACAGTGTTGAAAGGATTAAAAGAAATTAACACATTTTCGGTGATTTTCCGTCCTAGGGGAACCTTTAAACTAAGTCTCAGGCTGAAGTATTTTAGCCAGGAAAATGAGACACGCTCTTTAAAATTCAGATAAGGAGTCTTAAGGCAGTCCAGTTTACGTCACAATTATGCCCTGTGACGTCAGACGACGTCATGAAGGTGTGAACTATGTGATTGTGACAACAAACACTTCAGGGTGTCTGTTGTCTTGCGATATGTGCTTTCGCTACTTTTACTGCTAAAACTAAAACTTGATAAATACTATGACTTACAAAATACAGTATAAGTGGGAACGTTTTGTTCCTGTTTTCGAGCGATAAAAGGAGCAATTACCATTCTCATTATTCACACGTACACACGTGTAAAAGAAAACTATCAGTCACTTTATCAACGCAAAGCTAAGCTTATTTAACCGGGATATTATAAGATCATACCGGTACGTAAAATGATCTTCTATCCTTATTATTGCCTAAGATTAAGTTGTGAGCGATAAAATGGGTAATTACCATTCTCGTTATTCACACATGCATACGTGTATAAGAGAACTATAAGTCACTTATTATCAACGCAAAGCTAAGCTTCTTTAACCGGGATATTATAAGATCATACCTGTACGTAAAATGATCTCCTATCCTTATTGCCGAAGATTAAGTTGTGAGCTGCACGTCTTAGCGTCTAGCCCGGCAGCTAATCTTGCCCATATCTCCAACACTTGTCAACGGCAGCGAAATGAAGCGATCTATCTTCTGCTGGCTTATCTACAAGCGTGTCTGCGAATCGGTAACATAACAGTATCAAAGACGTGTAGCTAGAGATAGGCATCACTGGCGAGCCTACATGCGGTCCCAGGGGGCTTTCTATTGCCTTACCCTGCTTGTGGGCAGAGGCCCTAACGTTCAAATTGCACCTGATGAACGCGCTACAGCGTCGTGAGGAAGGTAATCGCTCCGGAAGGTAATGCCTGCGATTGGGGGATTGAATTCCCACGCGCTGGCAGCTGATACGAGCCAGCCAATTACACACACAGCCAATGTCAAGAGCCGCTCTCTTTAGCGGCCCAGTCAGCCAGTGTGTGTGGTGGCAACGGCGGAAGGTGCAGTACTGCGTAGTTAGGTGGTGGAGACCAACAACTCCTTGGTTACAAACTTTGTACGATTGCGTCAGGAGGGATCGGCTATTTAGGGCCAGGAAAGGCAGCACGAGCGCAACGTGAAACTAACTCTGCTGACGCATCAGACGAACGGAACGGGCTGCGTGAGGGATAAAGCTGCTGCTAAGGGCCTAGGTAGTGAAGAGAAGGTATGGAATGGTTTTCTTCTGATTCCTTTTTGTATCAGCGTGTTTGTATACACTATCAGCTTGTTAGTCTCTGTTGGTCATGGAAATTGCTGATTACACTATCTTGCCCATTTGTGTCAGAACAGAGGTTATCAGAATTAATATGTTCTTAAAACCTAGGTAGGTTAGCCATTGTATTTATCTGCAAGTGTGTTCAATTTGTTCAATGATATCCTTGCAAATACGTTGGGTATCATAAATGTAAATAGAGATTTTAAAATATTCCAACCATTGTTATTCTTAACATTGTTTTTGCCCATAGTATAAAGGTTTCCGATACGGCTTCCAACAGTTGGAAAACCTGTTGTAGGGTTAGAATCTAACTGAACTGATGACTGGTTTGTTATGGCATTTTGCTTCTTGTCCTTGATCAGATTTGCTATTTGGTAGTTACGATAATTTTTTTTTTTTAATCAGGAGACATTGGTAGCTTGGCATGATGTTACTAGCTGGCAGGAACGTGTCTTCGTTTGAATCCAAGTGTGCAATTCTTTTCCATGATTGCTCGGTAGTACGTTGTTTTTTACTAGATCTCGAGTCGTGCTATATCGCAGAGATACCTCATAGTATAACGTCGCCCTTGTATCTGCATCTGAATCAGTATAGCCGGAATAACCACCCTTCGGCGTAACACACCAGCTTCGCAGGCACGCGGCGCGGTGGCAGCTATCTATATCACACCGAACGACTTGTTACACTCAATCTTTGCACATCACATTTAAAATGCAGGGGTCGTTTAAAGCTTTCTAGTGATGATGCCCCAACTGTGCTTGGTGGCAACGAGTTCCAGTCTATGATAGTTCTGGGGGAATTTGACCACAGCAACGACGCATTCTGCAATGATTTGCGGTCCATTCAATGATTGCCACTCGTGGCGTCAGGAACAACAGTGGTCATTTGTACGTCCTGTTACAAATCAGACCGGGAAACTCATCAACCGAGAAACGTGGGGTCGCGTAGCGTAGCGGCAGAGTGCTCGACTCGGAACCAAGAGGTCCCGGGTTCGAGTCCAGACATTCCACCGATCTTGTGCCCTTGGAAAAGGCACTTTACACGACTTTCCTAACTTAACTCAACCGAAAATGAGTATTATACTGTCCTTTATTTTTACTCCGTGTTGGTGGCGGTACAAAATAAGTTATATAACTTGACTGTGCTGTCACCATGTCTAGTCATGAAATGTTGGAATATGAAAAAAAAATCTTATCAGGTTTTCTCAGCGGCCTACTGTACGTCCTAGAATGGTTTTCTTCGGTAAAATCCAATCGGTCTAGTGTCTATCTTTACACGGATGCCGAACAGAAAACACAATACAAAGGCTTTCAGGAGCCCTTCAAATGCGTTGTGTAACGCACGCATGCTTTCAGTACAAACCATTGAAACAATCTCAAGGGTGACTGCCAACGTGAAATCATAAAGCAGTTGGGTCATTAGGAGGCTGTCAAAAGTGGCGCTAATAACTATAGGCTATGAAGAACAGATTAGGAAAGACGCGGCTTGGTTTGAGTTAGTGTTACAAAGTGTTAGTGAAGATCCTAGGGCTAATCTGTGTTGGCGGCAATGCTGGGTGGTACTTTGTGATGGTCACATGGTGTTTTGTCTGCGTCAGTGTAATTTCAGTATCACTTAGTAACGTTGCTCACATGGCTAGCTATGGGTTGTCTTTGTTGATATAGTTTCTAGGAGATCTGTTGATAACATTACTAGCTGTATTTGTGATAGTCACTTTGTTGTCTTCATCGGTAGTGTGCTGATCGACTAGGTGAGTTCAGTCTAAGTTCTCGCAGTTTCTAGGGGTTTTGTGTTGGTAACATTACCTGGTATTGTTCTCTGCGTTAGTGTACAGGCTTGGGGCGCTTCATGTAACTTAGTAACATTATTGTCTGCAGTGTGTGTCGGCTATGTGGCTGGCGAGGTGTCATCTTTGTTGAACCTCCAAAAATTTCACATTACGTCACATTTTCTCAGAATTTTGCAGCAAATTCACATACTTTTCACATTTATGCACCTGGTAGTGTTTGTTGACGTAGTTTCTAGGGGTTCTGTGTTAATAACACGACTGGGTACTGTTGTCAGCGTTAGCATGGTGTACTGGTTAGGGGTGGTCCGTGTTACTTAGTAACCTTACTGTGTGCAGTGTGTGTGGCTGGCAAGGTGTCTTTGTTGAACCTCCAAATTTCACATTACGTCACATTTTCTTAGAATTTTGCAGCAAAAATTCACATAATTTTCACATTTATGCACCTGATAGAAGTGTTTGTTGACGTAGTTTCTAGGGTTTTCTGTGTTAATAACACTACTGGGTACTGTTGTCTGCGTTAGAATGGTGTACTGGTTAGGAGTGGTTCGTGTACCTTAGTAACATTATTATTGTCTGCAGTGTGTGTTTGTCAGTGGCTGGCGATGTGCCGTCTTCGTTGACGTAGTTTCTATGGGTTCTGTGTTAATAACACTACTGGGCACTGTTCTCTGCGTTAGCATGGTGTACTGGTTAGGAGTGGTTCGTGTAACTTAGTAACCTTACTGTGTGCAGTGTGTGTGATGGCACACACCATGACGTGGCAGACTAGGCATGGTCTTTGTTCCTGACGTCATTCGTGACGTCATTAGGTCTGTTGATGCCTATTTTGGATACAGAAGCGCGGTAACAAGCCAAAGTTGCCAAGCGTGGTCCGGCCTTTGTCGCAGATACGATCATACATGATGACAGGCATCTCAAGGAATGAGAACGCGACTGACGCAAATCTTTGATGTTTGCAAAATAAGTACGACTCGAAATGCGTACATTCTGCAACGACTACTCTGATGCTATCTCAGGTAGCTTACCTTTAATTTGCGGGCTGTAGTTGTATTAGCAAGGGCGAAGCAAGGACGTAGAGCTATATGGCCTACTATCATTTTCAAAATTTCCATGGCTGAAGCACAATAAAAGACTATGACTTATATAACATAATGATTTATCATTATTACGATATATTGATAATAAACTATGCCTGAGAACATTGAAGTGCACTTAGAAAGAAAAAAGTGGTATAATAATCATAAATCTACCAATATTTTATTACTTTTTATTGATGGTTGGCATGCAATTTGTACTTAAGAGTACATATGATGTTCATTGTTGCTGACAAAGTTTGTACTTTGGAGAGTTCATATAAGGTTAGCGCAGTAAAAAGGATTTGCGTGTGTTGCCAGCGTACAGGAATGCATTAGATTTTAACAAATGTCATTTTCAATGGGGCATTTGTTTCTATTGAGGATAAGGGCTTGACGTAGTGGATCTTGTCTATGTGTTTCCTTACGTACATAAAGCCATTAGATTTTAAGAAACAACAAAATATCCGAGTCCGCAGGGCATTGGTTTTCTATTAAGGATGAAAAACTCACCTGTGTCAGGTAGACTTTAAGTCACGCAACGTTATGGTCTATTATCATTACAACAAGATAATCATTGCATGACATTACGGGATAGCCGATGGGGCATTCAGCACATTACCGGCCATTTCGGAGACAAAGAATGCATGGAATGTGGTTCTTTGTTCCTGGAATTTGCAACAATGACGTATGAAATGGCTCATCCGCACGCAACGGACAGGCATTGGGAGTGATCAAACGTAATCTGTGGGCAGGCCCAACTAAAGTAAAATCACTTGCATACACGTCACTTGTAAGACCGAACCTAGAATATGCCGTGACATATACAAAGAAAGACAAAGACAAACTGGAAAGGGTACAGACTCAAGCTGCAAGATTCTGCAAGAACAACTATGAAAGAGGTGCTAGTGTCACGGAAATGAAAAGAAACCTACAGTGGGTCTCACTGGAAGACAAAAGAAAAATGCCCAGACTATGCATAGTGTACAAAATGACTAATAAACTGGTGGATGTACCAACCACTAAGTATCTGATACCAGCCCAGACAAGAAACAGTCATGCCTTCAAATATAAATATCAGAGTTATCACCCAAGAGTTGAGGTGTTCAAAAACTTGCATTTCGCCAGAACTATCGTAGAGTGGAACTCGTTGCCACCAAGCACAGTTGTGGCAGCATCACTAGAAAGCTTTAAATAAGATCCTGCAATTAAATGTCCAAAGATTGAATCATTCGGCGTGATATAGCTAGCTGCCGCCGCGCCGTGTGCCTGCGAAACTGGTGTGTTACGCCGAACTGCGGTTATACCACCTATATTGATACAGAAACTGATGTGTTACACCGAAGGGCGGTTATACCGGCTATACAGATACTGATACAGATGTACGATGGCCATACCGCCTTGATAGATGTCGCCATCAGCCGAGTTTGTATCCTTAGCTCTGGGAGATCCGAGGCCGAGGCGACCCTTTCAATTTCCCAGTGACACCACTCATCTATCGCGGATTCCATACATTGGCGGGGACAAAGGCTAATGCGTGGGGAATGCTAGCTGGCAGAATCCGCCCCGTCGCTGCAGGATACCCGGCATGACAGCTAGTCCCTGGGCTAGCCGGCAATGAGAGAAGTATCACTGCTTGTCTGCTGATGGATTGCTTCTTATTGCAGGGTGGTCTCAGGGTTAGACACGAGCTGGTTCGTTATAACTCACAAGTGGCGTTTTTAGCGGGGCTTCAAATGCCGCTTCTGTAAATCTAGCATGCAACAAATGTCCCTGATAAAGGTCTTTGTAAAGTGGAGAAACAAGCAGGACATGGGCTCATTATACGTATCTATATATCATCATCTGTTCAGAGGAAGGTATCTTGAGAAATCATTTGTAATCATCAGCATTTTCCCTTGTCAACATACATGTATGGGTGAATTTTCTCGAAGCTTGAAAAGATGTAGAGCTTGTTGTTCCTTTGGACAACTAAAGTTGTTGTAAGACCATCGAGCGACACAAACGTATTGATTTGTCTCTAAACTGTTCATTAGTTCGCATTTGTTACCCATTTGTTACTCATTTGCTTCGATACACCGAAATCC